GTGTAGGTCGGACTCATCTACAGTCCTGACAAATTTCATGTTGATCGGTGCAACCGTTTATGTGCTACGGTTGACCAAAAATCACAGAAAAAATAAATAAATAAACAGTACAAAACAATATGACCCCTGTTTTGCATGCCGGGGTCATAATTAATTAGCTTTTGGAGTCAGCCATCTTTAAAATGGCCACCACTGCACAGCAAAGTTGGCAAATCTAAAAATGGCTAAAGCTACCATCACAAACTAACTTCAGTGTTAAACTACTGAACAGCTTTTTTAAGAGACTTGGATTATTGGCTTCAACTACACGAAAATCTAATGAACAAACCGGAGTGAAACTCTCAGAAAAATGGCAAAAATTTACTGAGATACACAAATATTAAGCTATGGTTTATGTGTTTTTAACTGAGACTCATCCTCAACACATTCTCTAAGCACTAACTAGCCTGGCCCTTCCCTTCCTACGCAGTTCCACTCAATTCTAGTTTCACTTCACTGCTCTGTCTGGGATTTACCTGGGCCAATCAGAGAACAGAAGGCGGAGTTTTGAATGACATCGATTTTCTGCTCAGTGTCTGCTGGTTAGTTTAGCATACGGCAGCGAAGGACTTGAATGAAGCCAGTCTGTGTTGATAAGGCTTCCAAATTAAAATAAATTTGTCTGACAAAGCAGCAGCTCTCATTTACAGTTGTCTCATTCAGCTCGGTACTTCTCTCCTCTCAGCAGGGTTGTTTACAGTGCACACGATTTCCGGTTAGCTTCTTAGCTTAGCCTCCTTCACAGTGGAGCTGGCACTTGTGGCCAACCGATCCAATCATTTTAAACTTCAGCAGAGGCCACGCCTCCAGCAAGAACCACTTCTCTATAGCCGAGAGTCCAGACCGGACGAGGGTCTGGTTTTTCCAGGCTAAGGTCAATATTGAGATTTGACAAAAAACATATGAGATCTTAGTTTAAATTTTGGGCAATATGCATTTTTTTCAAGAAATGCTAGGCCTTTAATTTATCTGTAATTAACTAATGCATTTTTATGTAAGCCCAATTTGTGTTTGATTATTTATTGTTAATTAAACATCAGGCATTTGCGTTGCATTTTAAATTAAGATTATTCTTTTTCAGAGTCATCATCAAATTCAGAGTGCTATAAATGCTGTGAAAATAAAAAAAGTGCAACATTTCATTTTAAAATAGAAGTGTAAATWGGCCAAGTTGAGTTGAAATAAAAAATAAATAAATGAAAATGTGATTGAAAATTCTTTTTAGCAGATAATGTCAGCAGCTCCTGCAGTTAATGGCAGGTGTCCAKCTGCACGGTGATATTTGAGTGTGTTTGTTTTGCTGCTGGAAAATCAATCATTTCACTTCCCTGCAGTTGGCTACGTTGATTAAAAAATAATATGATGGCTTTTATTTTAAAATTGATTCATTTCAGTTCATTTGTATGTGATTTTTCTGAGTTTGTCAGCTCATACAGTTAAATCACATACTGAAGGAACAGACCTGACTCTTTGACCCTACAGGGAGGGAATCTAATGCATCTTTTTATCATATGCATGGTTTCACTTCACTTGATTTCTCTTCACAAATCAATACCAACTTGTTGCAAGTGAAAAGCCTTGATTTCTGGACTGAACGGAGACTTTTTCTCATAAAGATCTCTCAATTTTTAGTGTTCCAGGATGGTTTTAGCATGGGGTATGTCTGGCAGTATGTTTGGTATTATTTAAATATTTTCATTCAGGATGCGGAACTCATGGTAGATTTTAGAAATCARTTGAAAAGTCATCAAGGCCAAACATTCCTTGAAGGAATGCATTTTGCCAAAATCATCTTATTTTGAAAAATGTAGCCATTTTGGTAAAACTTTGAAAAATAGCATTATGTTACAATTCTAAGGCAATATTTCAGTGTATCAAAAGATCTGTAAGGGCTTGGAATTTCTGTTTTGAATGACCATGAGCTACTACCTCATCAATTTTTAAAGTTTAGCTCAATATCTGTACAATATACTTATTTGTGCTAAGATYAGTTGGCTGTAGCAGCCCTATTGAGTTGGATTGTTTCCATGAATTAATCAGTTRTATATGAATGAGTTACTGCTTAATGAAAGTTTTATTATAATTCATTCAATGKTTCAGAAGATATTTTGCTAACAGTGCAGCAAACACACGCACACACACACATRATCAAAACCATTATTGCTCTTGGCAGCAGGTGAAAATAAACTCAGTGCTTTACTCTGGAACCAAAGCAGAAGAAATCAGGTAACAGATTTAACACAAGAGCGAATAAGTGGAGCTTTAATCTATAAAGCGTGCACCCAGCCTATATCAAACTTACSGCGCAGCAATTAAAACCCCAAAACGCACCAATATAATCAGCCAGACATTTAATAAATTGCACAAAAGATTCAACAGCACCAATGTGCACACAAACACACACGCACAAAAACAGCTTGTTTCTAAGTTTCAATCAGACCACTGCACTGTCAGAATCCATTCCCTGGTCCTTTGACCATAACTCTAACCCAAACTGTTTCAGCGATTAGACCGATCCAGAGTGATTAAGAAAGTTTTTCAACCTCTAACCAAAACATAAATCAAACCAGGCCCCTAAAACCATATTTTTATAACTTCGAAAAAACATTACACTCACAGAGGCTGCAGTTTTGTCTCTACTTTTACAGCAAGTCTTTGTATGCTGCTGTTCTGTCGGCTGTTGGATTCTGTCCTAGGAGAAAAAAAAGGAAGATAAAAACCAACTTACGGCACTTGTTTTTTATCTAAGAAATAAGATGATTTTTCTACTTGGCATCGTGTTATTGCATGTCTGAATGCTCTAAAAGCGTTAAGCTGCCCAAACCTTTGCTTTCAGACGTCTTCACATTTACTGATGATGAGTTAATCCAGTGCGTTTGATTAGCACCAACAGATTGCTTAATTGCATACGTTGTGTGGAAAGAACGAGAAAGTAGGGAGTTTTTCACACCGCTTTGACATTTTGTTTTAGTTAACACTGTCGGTGTGAAGGTTTTATTTACTTAGTTTTAAAAYCTGCTTAGTACAAAACGATTTTTAATATCAGGCGCTGCTAAAGGTTAAAGGCGATAATGATTTCAGCTGTGCGCTCAGTTTTTTTCTGTAGCATTAGCAACATATTCCAACAACCAAAGGACAGATTTTAATGAAACTCTCAGAAAGTAATAACTGGATGCTGAGCTTCAGCTGAAATACACTCTTGGTGTCAATGCAACTCAAGATGGCTGCTAATTTTAGTCACAAAAATCACCATAACTTGGTCAGCTTTACAGATGCTGAGTTGTTGTAGCTGAGAGTCATTTTGAGTTTTGCAGTAATGCATTTTATTGTCCTAACATTTCACCAAAATGGYTACAACTTTGTCAAATGTCAACAGAAGATGCAGAATTTTAACCTAAAGCTCTAGCATGAAAGGTGACGTTGATATGCAGTCCCTTATTAAATGCTAGGCCTTGAATTTAATGTTTGATTTGAAAAAGCCTCACATTTACAGAGTTCTGATTTTTCTCTAACTATATAATAAATGTGATTTACATTTCCATGAGTTTAATTAATGGATAGCAGCACGAGGCTTTTATTTCTTTGTTATTTCATCAATTTTGTACCATTATAGACTCAAATAATAGAACATATTTTTTCCCATTTTTACACACTGTTACATTTTTGAATACTCATTTTCTAGAATTGCAAAAAGAGAAACAACATCCCACTCAGTGAGTTCTTTTTTCTGGGCTTTTTTTTTTCTTGTATAAATCTTTCTCCTGTTCCCTTTTATTTTTCTCGTTTTCCATCTAGCTGTATGACCTTGGTTCCCCTGCTGAATCCTCCAACACTTTGCTTGGCTGCAGTCTTATTGATAACCACTGCACCGACGTGGAGCAGCTTTCCTCCTGTGGCAAGAGGGGCAGCTGTCACGGGGAGAGGGGCTCTTTCAGCTGCCTGTGTGAAAAAGGCTTTACGGGGCCGCGGTGCGATCACTGTAAGTATGTAGAGTTGCTTTTTCAGCGAYCGTGATGCTTTTTTGGTCTGTTTTGCGTCCAAGCCTCACGAGGTGCACGGACCAAATGGAAAGATTTCTGGTGTGGGAAGATAACCTCGCCTTGCATAACGTAGTTTTGAACAGTCTTACACAGACTCTGGCTGTAACTCCCTCGTGTTTTTTTTCCATGTGACAGCTGAAATAATTGAAACAAGCCTTTTTCTTCTTTTTATTTTGATTGACAAGTGGCTCCGGAGTTTTCCTTTGACGGTCGGAGCCACGTTCAGCTCCAGCTGGGGTGGTCTCTGCCTGCGCGGCACACCAGAGTCCAGATTGGGGTACGGACACGTGCCTCGGCCGGTGTCCTCCTCAGCCTGCTGTCCCAGGAGCAGAGTGAATACCTACGCTTAGAGGTGAGTCACGGGCCAGCCACTCACTCGCCTCCACCTTGACAGCTGTGATTGTCTTGTTTGTGAGCCTTAAAATGATGATTAGGCCTTGCAAATGATTGCTGGAGATGCTTGTCAGGCTGAGAGTGAGTAATATCAGGGTTGAAGACATATGGGTGGATACTGAGGAGGCTGGTGAGTGGCATATGTATGTTCTTAACAGGCTCTTTCAGTGGGTTGCAGAATGTTTTTTTTCAAGGATATGATTTTTTTAAGTCCTTTTTTTTATCTAAGGCTATATCTGTGTCTGGTTTCAAACYCAGTTTTCTATGGCAAGAGAGTGAGTTTTTATTGTGGGCAACAGTAGCACAGAGGTTGGGGAAAACCAGTCTGTGATTGGGAGGTTGCAGGTTCGAGTTCCTGGACCATTACCAAGAATGAAAGACATAATACCAAAAATGGGGGTAGAGGTAAAGCAGCCACATGACTCTTATTTACCCCTAGAGCAAGGCCCTTAAAGTACCTGTGACATGCATATCCTTCAAATACAAAAACTCATAGAAAACATCTTTATGCTTAAGAARCACATTATTTTACCCATTTTGTCACATAACTGGCTCATTTATTTTGGATTTGGCTCAGCCAAAGTGAAACAGGAAGTGACAAAAAAAGGGAAACTCGTTAAAAAAACTAGAAGCACTCGGAGAGTGCAAACCTCCACCAAGACCAATCTCCCCCATCCTGTAAGAGTTAATGCGTAAAAACAGAGATGGAAACACATTTGCCGATTAAGTTCTGATGTAGCGAACATTTAAGCAGCAGTATGCACGGGATTTCTTCTYGGTGGAGTCCAATGTGAAAAAAAAAGTCAGACTTGTCACCTGACGTTATTCATCGTCAAACTGGTGTGGGATTAAGCTCCTACGTAAGTTTTCATCAGTCACATTTCACCATGTAAAACGTCTGTTTAATCCCCTTGTTTGAGTTTGTAATGGTTTGACTCTCTTTATAAAGTACTTCCTGGCTCCCCCCGTCTCCAAACTTTGAGGCCCGGCAGCTCTCTGTTTACAAGCCTAGTAGAGAGAAACTGTTTTGAGTGGTTGTTTCGGAAATGTGGAGTGTTTGAGGAAATGGGAAAAATAGGTTTCATGGTGCAGTCACGCACTTCCTGGTCANGCGCTTTGTCTGGTTCCTCACCTAGGACCTGTCTGCCATGGGTGACCCTACCAGGCGCATAAAGCCCCAGACAGCATAGCTCCTAGGATCATTGGGACACTCAAACCCCTCCACCACGATAAGGTAGCAGCCCAAGGAGAGGGTAAATGCACATATTATGGCAAACATTATTCATCATTAAATCTGGTTTTAACATTACTTGTATAAAGTTTGAAGTCCGTGCTGTCCAATCCAGCTCACTGTTTTTTACAAAAGCCCTGTGAAAGCATCACAGCTTTGCGTATCTCAGAGTGTTAAAAGAAAAAAATTCCTGTATCCACATTGTGATCCGGAACATCACCAAAATTTAAAGGTGTGTTCCTTGGCCCAGTACCCACATGTGGTAAAAATGTCATGACAATCTGTCCACAAGTTTGTGAGTAATGTTGTCGGCAGACAGAACGACAGAACGACAGACATACGCGACCGAAAACATTAACTCACGCTCGGCGGAGGTAATAATAAAATCTCTGGTCTTTGTTTATTAAAACAGTATCATTCAAACTTTAACTCTTCATCATCTGTTTGATAGAAACTCAAAATAATCTAAAGAAGCATCAGATTCTTCTCTATAGTCCGTGTTATCAGCTGTTGTAACAATGCTCTGTTTGCATGCAGACGTTCTTGTTTGACATCACTTCCTGTTTCTTCACGTGCAAAAATCTCAACAACCATTCATCTCAGGGGCGTGAAATTTGTTTTGCAATATGTTATCAGTGTTATGTTTTCAAAAATGCATTCATGTTTATGACAAAAATTTAATGTCACAGGAACTTTAATGCCCTCTGTTACACTATGGCTTTTTTGTGATCAAAATTTTATTGATTTTCAACAGGGGTAAGTGGGGTGGGTAGCTTTTCTTTATACAGCTGCACTGAAGTGCTCAGGAAAAGAAAACGATTAAGCACAAAAAGCAGCATAAAATCAAATARTACATGTGCATAAAAATGTCCTAATTAGGATTTGTCTCATCCACTGAGTTAAATTGGTCACACTGTGGCTTGTGGTCGCTCAGTGATCGTTGGTTGGAGAAGACAGGAGCATAAAAAAGTGAGTTTGCGTCATAGTTTGTGGAAGGTCAAAGCTCTTGCTTGACACTTTAAGTTTTAGACACAGTTTGAGTCAAGTGGCTCGCTCTAAGTCATACCTTTTCACTCTTTGTACAACTGGAGTGGAATGGTGCTCGAACAGTTTTTAAAGTCTGCTTCAGTTTTGCCAAACCTCCATAATAGCATGCCTCCACTGTCTGACACATTCCTGAGTGTTTATGAAGGCGGTGTTCCTTGTCAAAGCATTTCATCTTGTCAGCTGACAGGCCGAGTGGGAACAGCACCTGGAAGTAAACGACTCTGGTAGGACTGTCACTCACAGGTCATCAGTTTCCACCCAACACGCCTTTGTTTTTGTGGATTTCGCACCGCCGGTCCGTCTTTGAAGAGCATCTCGTCTCTGCGCCCRGCGCTTGTTATTTGTCAGACAGCGCTGTTTAAAGGCGTCGTCTCTTGTTCTTCTTTGGGGTTTTAACGCTACATGAGGAGAAACAACGGTGTCCTGTTCCGTTGTTTTGGTCCCACTGTGACAGGGAAAAGGAAAAAAAATGCTGTAGTCTTTAATGTGCTGTGAAGCCTCTCAGTGTAACCCTCTCTGGAGCTGAAGCGGTGAGCTGCATAAAGCATCTGATGTCTGTCTGCAGCCGGCGCACTGAAACATTTTCAGCCTTGTTGTCCCAGAGCTCACAGAAACACTTGAGCACAAGCCTGCTGTGTTTTCCGACAACAAGCTCTAATTTAAAGGGCTGTCTCCATGCCCCCTTTTTTTTTCTTAAGGGTAGCTATGGAATAGAGTGCACACTGAATAAATAACCACACTTTCACACAGAGGTTATCAAGGGCTAGCTGGGCAGAAACAACATGCAGCCCTCTGAGGAGTATGGTCTCGCCGTAAAGAAAACATTTATCCAATGCATTCTGAGAAAAGGTTTTCCTGAGTGACTGGGATGCACTAAACTTATTGTCAAATACCAGTAACCTTTAAAACAATGACAATATTTAGCTTTGAAATGGTTCAAACGTCACACATCTTTCAGACATGACACTTTTAGAGTTAACTCTGTTAGCAATATACAATATCGCTAACCATTTCATGGAAACTAAAGAAACGTTCAGAAGATATTTACATCTACAACTGATTATTTTTAGGTGCAATGTAAGATGGCAGCCACAGCTAATCAATATGAAACAAAAGAGTTGCTTCTGGTTGTGTGGGGTGGAGGTGGGCATGATTTTTATGTTTGGAGAGTGGGGTGGGGTGTTTTATGTATTTTTTAATTGCGTTATTTATTGTTGGATGTTGTTTTGTTTTTACTGTTTGATTTACAGATGTAAAATAGCCTTAGGCTAAATCTGGTGCAATGCATCATGTTATGTTTTAATTGCACACTGTCCCGAACAAATAAAATCTTTCATTCATTCAAAAAAAAAAGTATTTAACTTTCTCAGTTTTACAGATGTTGAACAGACGTTTGATGTAGCAGCTGAGTCATCCACAAGATGCACTCTGAGCGTCTTACAATATTGCATGAGCAGCAGTGACCCTTAAGGGATGTCCATGGTCACCCCTGGAAATTTGCTCCCACCCTCACC